AAACTTTCAAATCTTCCCATTTCAGGTTGAAAGATCATTTCTTGAGAATCAGAACTATTAGAATTTATTATTATTTTTTTTTGCACTTGTTTTATTTTCTACTAAATAGTATAATTATTTAATTTTATCCATGTCGAGATGTTATTTGAGAGAGAGTACAATGGTGAGAATCAATGCTATGCAAGATGGAATGAGCATAGGACTCAAGTAGCGTTGGCTAAGGTGCATAATTCCAAGGCCAAATCCTCTATTGGCACCCTTTAATTATGTCTTTTTCATGGTCAATATCTTTCAAATATTTTCTTTCAATTAATACTCTTCACTTTTTAAAACTCGAAAAAAACTCAATATTTTAGCAAGTCATCATGTCATCATTAATAACCGTTAAAAAGTGCAATATGTGGCAACCAAATAATGATGTGGGCATTATGTGGCAACCAAATAATGATGTGGGCATTATGTGGCATTATTTATCTTATGTGAATGATTTTTTGATGATGTGGCATGATAACATAGCATAATTTTATGTGAAAACCTCCCAACCAAAAAAAAAAAAAAAAACTAAAACATAAAATTAAATGAATTAAAACATAATTAACTTTAATTTTTTCACCTTCTTCTTTCTTGTCATTCTCAACATCATATTCACCCTCCTCTTCACTGTCCCCTTCATCATCTGTGGAACCCAAGTTCTAGGGTTCCACGAACCCAAAATTGGGTTCTAGAAGGATCCCAAAACCTAGGTTTGTGAGAAACCTAGTTTTGGGCTCCTCGTGGAACCTAGCCTCCATGGAAGATAAAAAAAGATGTCATCCATGGTTCTAATGGAGGTTGCTTCAGATTGGAAAAAAAGGAACAATCTTTTAATTCACTTGCAAGAAAAGTTGAGAACCCATCAAAGAATCAAATCATCATCTTATTATTCTATCAAAACCAGAAAGAATCACAAAAAAGAAAGGCGAAAGAAAGGTACAAACTAGGTTCAACGAGGAACCCAACTTTGGGTTCCTCACAATGACACCTAATTCTAGGTTCTTCGTCGTGGTGGAACCTATATCGGGTTCCTTGTCTTGAGGAACCCAGCTCAGGTTCCTCATTCTGAGGAACCCAGAGCTGGGTTCCTT